AGAACCACCATGAAATTGTTTTTTGTATTCTGTCCACAATTTATGGTTGTGATCTACAGGATGGTTGGTCTTTGGGGAACTTTACAGAAGGAGAATCTTTTTATCCTATGTCTCTCTTTCATACTAGGAACTTTGGGATCATTTTTCTTTCAAATACTTCAAATAGTTCCTTTTTACTTTGCACTCTTTTCTTTGGAGCTTCATTAACTAGGTACTGACAGTTATCCTTTCTCTAATTTTTTTTTTTTACTCCTTAACTGTCTTTAACACTTTCTGATATGTTCTGTTGAGGAGTCCTTTGCAGCTTGCTGCTTCAATTGTTGACTGGGCATGGACTGCATTTTTCTCCGTGTCTATTACTCAACTCTGCCACTAACAATCTTGAAGTATGTGGAGTAGGGGAGGTAAAAGAGAAAACATCAAGCTTATTCAACTACTAGTGGCCAAATTTTCTCTGTGAAAGGATAGTTTTTGAGATGTAAATAAGTTGATTTCTAGTATTGTTTCCCACTGCGAGGAAGTTGTATAACGTTGGCTAAAATCCAGTTATTGTTGCTTTCCATAGTCAATATTTATTTAGACTTATCCTCATTTTTATCAGTCTCTTTGCTCACCATTGTTTTTCGGTCCTTTCCTATGAAATCATATTCCTTCTTGAAATACATCATTTAGAAGGTCCTTTTGAGAAGATCTGTTGGTGGTAAATACTCAGTTTTTGTTTCCTTGGAAGTCTTTATTTAACCTTCAGTCTTGAATAAAATTTTAGCTGAGTTCAGGAGTTTACATTGACAGTTATTTTTACCCTCTTGCCACTTTGAATACATCATGTACTCACTTCCTTATGTTGATGCCAAGATGCTATCTTTGCCATTTTCCTAATTTTAAAAGAAAACTTTCAACATTTAAATTTTTTATGATGTTTAATGTAGAGTTTCATAGGTGTCCAGTAATTGTGAAGACATTTCCTTCAATGGCTACTTTGCTAAGATTTTTTTCAATGAGTGGATATTGAATTGTATTATTTGCTTTGTACCCACAGACACAAAATTCATAGATATTAAAATTATTGCTATACTTGATTACATTCATCAAATGTTTAATATTACAGTAACTTGTGTTCTGAGAAAAAACCCACCTTGGTCATGGCATTGCATTTTTTTTAATGAATTGCTGGATTCAGTCTGTTAAAACTTGTTTAACATTTAAATCTAGATTAATAAATAAAGTAGATTAATATTTTTATTTTCTTTTGAAATCCCTGTCTAGTTTGGATATCATAATGTGTGTTTAAGAGTGTTCCTTCTTTTTCTGTTCTCTGAGAGCTTATGTAAATTGAGAATCTATGTTTTTTGAAAGATTGTTAGTTTTTGGACCAGATGTATTCTTTATGGGAAGATATATAACAATCAGTTTTAACTATTTTATGATTACAGAATAGTTCAGCTTCTCTCTTTCTTCTTGGGTCCATTTTAGTAAGTTTTTAATAAGTGTTTTAAAAGTATCATTTCGTTTCATGAAAGTTGTCAAGTTCATGGGCATAAAGTAGTTCATGTCTTTTTATTTCTGTTTAAACTTGACATTATCAGGGTGCTTGGGTGGTTCACTTGGTTAAGCATTTGACTTTGGCTCAGGTTATGATCTCACTGTTCGTGGGTTCAAGCCCCACATCAGACTCTGTGCTGACAACTCAGACTGGAGCTCGCTTCAGGTTCTGTGTTTCCTTCTTTCTCTACCCCTCCCCAGTTCATGCTCTCTTTCTGTCTCTCAAAAATAAACAAATGTTAAAAAACAATTAAAAAATTAAACTTGACATTATCTGTAGTTACACTTTCATTTTATTCCTAATAGTGGATTTTTTTTGCTTTCTTTTTTCTTGCTTAATTTCCAATTTTATTAGTATTTACAAAGAACTAGATTTCAAGTTGATATTCCTTTTGAGTCTTTGTTTTCTGTTTTTTTAAGTACCTCATCCCCCTTTCTTCTCTTCTACCCTTAAAATTACTACAGTGTTCTGTGGTGGAAAATAATATTTTTAAAAGTATTATCCCATACTGAATTACATTTGCTATCAAATACTGAAATTGTATTTTGGAAGATAATTAGTGGAAGAACGAGAAGTTACATGTACAAGATTTAATTGTTACTTCTGTATGCATGCACTTAAGATTTTTTTATTTTAACATAAATTTCAGAATATCTTAATGGAACTATTTGCTATAAAGAAAGATATGAGTATAGGTTATCGAAGATAAAATTTATAATTTTTTATACATGGGCAATTAATCTTCCACTTAAATAATTTCTTTTAAAACATATAATATTTTCATGTAAACATTTTAAAAGCCTACTTGAGATAAACATCGAAATTCCTATTATATGCTTTTAATGGTCTTTTCCTATTATGGAAGAATTTTTAAAAAGAGTATTGTTATTTATTCGTTTTCTAGGAACAGCTGAGGTGTGCATTTCTGGATTCCTGTGCAAAGTGTTTGAAGTTTTAAAGTTCTTTTCTTAATTGATACATGAAGTGGTTTCAGCAATTAAATTGCAAAAACGTATTTGACTCTAGCCTAACACGTGGAGTGTTTGGTTCTTGCCCTTTTTTATCTGAAGAAAAGGCTCGATATAACATAGCTCTCCTATCACACCCATTTTCCTGTGTTACTTTTGACGGTTCAGTTTGAAACCCAGAATCTGAGTCATTTTCAAGAATGAGGCTGTAATTTACTTACCAAAGGATCCCTGGACCGGCAGAACATAAAGAGTAAAGAGATCTCCTCTATGAGAGATTTATTCTTCATGACTGTGCTTATCTTGAACAGCTGCCAAGTTTGCTTTTATGTTCCCACTGACTCAAGTGGGAATCAATTAGAGTACCTGCTGTTTTGAATAGCAGATAATGGGTGAAGGTCAGAATTTAGACCACCAACAGTGTTCAACAAGCAAGTGTGATTATAAAATTACAATATAGAAGATTTGCTTTTTTGTTCAATATGCCTTTGTTAACAAACAAACTTGACAAAAATAACTCATGCTATAATACACATAAAGCAAAATTTATTGAATACACATGAAGCAGTTTTTCTTTGTTGGAAAATTCAGCATTTGATCCCATGATTATAAGACATCCTTCACAGAAAGGTAGTAAGGGGGAAAATTACATTTAGGAACTGTAATTCCCAGGTTAGAGAGCCATTCATTGAGATATAAATGTGTGCACAAAAGTACATGATAAACAACCTATCTGTTTATTTTAAAGAGTCTAAAATACTGCAAAGAAACAATTTGATTTAGACATTGGCATTCTTTAAAATAAATCCCTAGATGAATTTTTGGTAAATGATACGTGTAAATAAAGCACTTACATTAAGCTGAATCATCTCCTAAATATAGTAAGATCTATTTGGATAAAATATTTTGAAGCAGAAAAACTATCCCAGCAGATAAAATAAAATGAATAAAATCTATCCCACTCTTGCCAGACACTGTATAATTTTTAAGAGCTTACAAACACTTCAGAAATCTGTATTTTTAAAGAAAGGAAGAATAGGAAAATAATATTTCAGGCCTTGTGACAAATTCAGTATTGGAATTGTAACTGACCTGTTTAAAATGTTCATTTAAATATACCTTTTCCAAAGTATTTAATAGACTCGGGTCATTAGTTAATTTTTACTTTGCAGTGATTTTCAGTCTGTTTTGCATACACCATTAGCATAAGCCTCCTATAATAGCCTTTTTGTCTTATCAACCTGCTGGACCACTGCTGAGTGGCCTCTTTTTCCCTCCAAATACAGAGTCCCTAACCCTTCCTGGCAATCCAGATCTGGTCCGTCCCTCTTTAAAATCCTTGTTCACTACTCCCGTCCGTTACATGCCTTTTCCCAGTACACTGGTCTTCTCACACTTAACGTGACTGCGCCGTTCACATTGCCGTTACTTGTTGTCTTTATTGATCTGTTCTCTTCCACTTACTTCTCCATGTATCTGGACAGGGAGTAACACAGCCATCTTCACTCTACATTAATCACAGTTAAAATGTGGATGTGTCGTGTGCTTCACTATGTCTCCGTGCTGGCAGTGGCTAGAGCTATGGCGTAGGTTTCTGACGGTCTTCCCTCCTGCATTTCCGCGAAGTTCTCTCCTTTCACTGTTGCTATGTCTCTGCTGCCTTATCCCAGTATTTGTTATTCCCTCTAACTTTTCCCCAGAAAAAGTTGATTGTAGCCTGGAGATCTAGAACTCATTCAGAATGAGGTAAAAATGACTGATAACAAAAACATACCCATTCAGAGTCTGCAATGTGTCAAGAGCTAAGGCTATGGGATTAAATAATCCTGTAATTTTTAAGCATAAAACGGAGCGTAAGTGACGACAGGCTTTAAGACAGCAGGCCCTAAATTCATACCACAAACGCTTCACTTTTATTCTTCCAGCCTGGTTTCTAGAATAGTATAAATAATGGTTTTTAGCTCACGCTGGTCTATTATGGCTACTTAGTCTTGCATAATCACATGCAGTTTTTTAAAAAAAAAAAATTTAATGTTTTATTTATTTTTGAGAGAGAGAGACACACAGTACGAGCAGGGGAAGGGCAGAGAGAGAGGGAGGCAGAATCGGCGAAGCAGGCTCCAGGCTCTGAGCTGCCAGCACAGAGCCTGATGCAGGTGTCCCACCCGTGAATCAGAGATCACGACCTGAGCCAAAGTCGGACACTTACCGGACTGAGCCACCCAGGCACCCCATAATCACCTGTGTTTTAAAGAAATGTAAAGACAATGAAACATATTAAACAGATTTTCTGTTCTTATGTATCAACATTCTCATCACTATAAATAAGCCTATGCTATTCAACTTAATTGTAAATGCAAAGTACCTAGAGCCTGTTTTTCTTCCAACAATTTCTTGTTCTGTCAAAGTCACTTTTTTCCAAAATTTATTGACTTCACATCAAAAATGTGATGCCTCCTCCTTATGAGTTATTGTGGCCTTGTTTTCAGCATCTTATTTGCACAGGGTTGTGGTGCAAGGTAGAGGGTGAGAAAGAATGCAGAACCAAGCTTGATCCACCCATGGATGGAACGGACTGTGACGCTGGTAAGGTAAGTCACGTGACCCATCTGTAGTTAGTAAGAATAGTGAATGAAACTCAAGAAATTCACATCTCCTTCTGCCCGTTGCATATTTATCCATCTCAACACTAGTGAAATACTTTCAGTATCTATAAAGCTTTCAGCATTTCATTCATTTTCACTGTTTACTTTTATGTGTTTCACATATTGGTCATTTTGTTAATATAAATGCAGTTATTTTTTATTGTGTTTGATTACAACAATGTTGAAGGATGTATGTATTAGTTTCGCCAAAAAATGAATTTATTAAATTAAACACAGGTAAAATGACGACAAACAATAGCATAAATATCATAAATAGGAGAACTTGCAGAGCTGATGAGTCCTTTCAGGTATAAAACATTGTCCCAGAAGAGCGACTGAGGATAATTTTTCCTTGTCATTTCAAGCATCATAAGTAAAATATTCTAATCGACATGTTATTTTATTTTTAGTTTAGTTTAGTTTTTAATGTTTATTTTTGAGAGAGAGAGACAGAGACAGAGACAGAGTGTTAGTGGGGAAGGGGCAGAGAGAGAGAGACACACACAGAATTTGAAGCAGGCTCCGGGCTCTGAACTGTCAGCGCAGAGCCTGACGCAAGGCTTGAGCTCATGAACTGTGAGATCATGACCTGAGCCAAAGTCAAATGTTTGACGGACTGAGCCACCCAGGCGCCCCTCTAATTGATATTTTAAAGATTAGTAAATACTTGGCTGTCTGAGTTGTTTAATGCGCTTCTTGAAGTTATAGGAATTTATTAGTACACATTTACATATTAAGATAATTGGTGTTGAAAAGTTAAATTTGTTGTGATTTCCATATCAAAATTATTGCTGTGGAAAAATAATTTCTGTGAAAGGATCTGAAGGAGATAGCTCTCATCTAAATGTATAATTGTAGTTAATCAAAAGATTACAGTTCAGTAACTCATATTATTTTCTAATTTTTATTCTGTGAAGGGAATTAGATGTGAGATCTGAAACCTTGCCTCTGCAGAACATACATTTTTATTACATTTAAAAAGAAACAACAACATAAAGGTTACTGGGAGTGAAATACTTAGTGAAAAAAATGAAGTAATATAGAGTGGTAGTTTAAAAGCACATTGTTTTTAACAATGGACACAATAGAAATACCACACACACACACACACACACACACACACACACACACACACAAATGCTTATGTAAGAATGCAATTTGCAATGGTGAGGAGTGAGAAACCATGAAAATATTCATGAGGTGAGGAATGGTTACAATGTAGCTGTTAAAAGAATAAGGTAGATACATATACATACAGACTGAAGAGATCTATAAGACATGTTGGTTAATACATAGGCACGTCAGAAAAATTGATACTTTATGATACCATTTGACATTTACCAAAAAAAAAAAGTTTTGAACACACACACACACAGACACACACACACACACACACAGGGTATATATTCCTAAATTCATAGAAAATGGTTTGAAAATGTAAACTCCAAACTGTATTTAATAGTTAGCTCTTGGAAGGGAAATAGGTTTGATGGATGAAAGCAGGGGAGCTGAGGATAAATATGACTTTTTCCTAGACATTTTTTATTTTGTTTGTCATGAGCATGTAATCATTTATTACTTCTCTGAGATCTTTAACTAAAAAAAATGTAACATTTTTAAAATACAGAGTATTTTTAAGGCTAGCAATGTTTTATCACTAGATGTAATCAATAAGGAAATGGTTTCTTGAAAGGGAATTTCTGTGAATTATCAGCCAGTTGTTTACAGACTGTGTCAGATGTTTTTCTGTGAGTTTATACGGAGTGTCTGAATTTGGGTTGGTTTTATTTTTTTTTTGAAGTTATACACCAAAGTACAATAATATGTGCATACTGGGCAAGCCTCATGGTATTATGCTGTATAATTTATTGCTGGCATCATAAAACTCTGCACCAGCAATAATTTTTATCATCCCTGAAACACAAAAACAGTAATAAACAGAGATAACCAAACATTTAGCCATTACATCTCAAACTTCACACAGACCATTCATCTCATTTAGTTCTGCTTTAGCAATATAAAAATCTCTTCATTTTTATAAACTGATGTCCTACACATTTCTCTACCATTGTTTTTTCTTCTGATACTTATTAGAATAATTTGCATACTTGAATTCTCTAAAATAAACGTACTCTTGTAACAATCAAATTTATAATTGCTCATCCAAAGGAAAATGTTTTATTTCCCTCTAATTGTGCTAACAATATCTGTTAGTGGTTCTGCAATGCTTTGTGTATTGAAATAACTAATGAACTTCTCAGTTCCTGAGGCCATGTGGGCTTCTTCAAATAGCCATCTGTCCCAGCTTTTGTAGGAGCCATCATGAAAATAGCTTCCAACACTGCAGATGAGTGCTGAAGTGCTAAAATATTTGAATGCATCCAACCTCACACAAAACCCTGCTAGCTTTGTGCATTGCAAACCAAGAAACAAAGCTGGGCATTTTTTTTTTATAATTCATTACAAAATGTTGTAATTTTTTATAATGTGTACAGTGTAGTGATGTGAATCTAGCTGTATAACTAGTTCATCCAAGAGTATGTAATTAAGTCTGAAGGTGCGTACAGAATTTTATGATTTAAAATAATTGGAAAGGTGGGGATTTATCTACTATTTATACTCAGCATTTTCCAAATTAAAAACAGCCTGTTTTCTTTCTTCTCCTTTTCTCTTTATACTACTATCATCTGTGTTTACATTTACATTGAACAGATGTTAAAGAGTTGTTAAATGATTTGGCAAAAACCAAGACATGTATGTTTTTTCACTGACAATACTTACTAGGAACTTGGGGAGGGGAAAGGAAAGTTGAATAAAAACCTAGTAAAATTTTAACCTGTTTTGAAGAATTCTACATAATATATTTTATTATTTACTTCCTTAAATTGAGCCTCTTGAAATGACCAACATCATCCTTTGTTGAAAATATAAAGACTGGGGCGCCTGGGTGGCGCAGTCGGTTAAGCGTCCGACTTCAGCCAGGTCACGATCTCGCACTCCGTGAGTTCAAGCCCCGCGTCTGGCTCTGGGCTGATGGCTCAGAGCCTGGAGCCTGTTTCCGATTCTGTGTCTCCCTCTCTCTCTGCCCCTCCCCCGTTCATGCTCTGTCTCTCTCTGTCCCAAAAATAAATAAACGTTGAAAAAAAAAAAAAAAAAAAAAAAAAAAAAAAAAAAAAAAAAAAAAAAAAAAAGAAAATATAAAGACTGTAATATCCTTACAATCAAATTTGCATATTTAGAGAGTTTATTGGCTTCTCTTCCCCTCTGGTCTCCTCAGTTTCTGTAGAAGATTTGATTAGAGAATGATGTTCCCTTTGACATCATCACAGACCTCTTCCAGTCAGATGTTTTCATGAACTTCCTAGATGCATGTCCACATAGAAATTTGATAGCATGGAACTACAGGCAATTTTTTAGGTCATGTACTGTGCCAGAAATATCCTTTATTATATATTTCCTTAGCATTTTCATAAATCAGACTGAATCAGTAGACATGACAAATTTTGAGCTTTTTAAGCCATGCATAGCATCTTCTTTTGAGGCTAAAAAAATGCAAATAAAGCAAAATATGCTGCGAGAAAATATATAAAAAGCATCATTAGGATCATTTTAATGTATAAACCAAATGGAATATATTATATAATGATTTAAACAAAACATTCAACACTTTCCTCTGTGTTGAAAAACAGCATCACCTAGAAGACACAAAGGCAGTTTCTCCATAGTTTCATCCAGAGTGTTGGTTCTCTGCAAGGTGATGAACTTTAAATATTATGCAATTCTTTCTTCAGATTTCACCGATTTGTGTTATGCAAATGTAGCTTCCATATCTGTTTCCATTTGTCTTCATCTGCCCAGTGTGGTCTAGGTTAAATGATGTACAAGTCCAGATGCTGGTCTTTCCCAGCAGAGTTTCAGTGCGCTGTGAACCTGAGCCCAGCCTTTCAATGCCAGTGTGCTGCTAAGTGAGCAAGGAGCTATGGGATGCCCTATAGGAAAATAAACACCCTTCAAGTAGGCCGAAACAATTGGACCAATTGAAGTTTGACACCTTTCACGCTGGATTGTGTGTGTGTGTGTGTGTGTGTGTGTGTGTGTGTGTGTGTGTGTGTGTCTGTGTGTGAAAGGGCAGTACATTGTTAAATCTTTAAAGCCAGTAAATTGTTTAAAAGGATATTTTTCCCCTTTCTGCAATTTTCAGACTCTGTATTCACCCAAAATCTCAATTTAATGACAATCTTCATACAAAATCTCAGTGTAATATGCCTGTCAATACACTATTAGTTGTTGAGATTTTTTTTTTTTTGAGCATAGATTTAAAAATTCTTGAGTCTAATGGTGCCAGGGTGACTCAGTCAGTTGAGCATCTGACTTCAGCTTAGGTCATAATCTCCCAGCTCCTGAGTTCGAATCCCATGTGGGGCTGGCGCCTGGGTGGCTCATTTGGTTGAGCATTCGACCTCAGCTCAGGTGATGACTTATCGGCTCCTGAGTTCCAGCCCCACATTGGGCTCTGTGCTGACAACTCAGAGCCTGGAGCCCATTTCTGATTCTGTCTGCCTCTCTCTCTGTGCCTCCCCCACTCACAGTCAGTCTGTGTCTCTCTCAAAAATAAATAAACATTAAAAAAAATTTAAACATCTTGAGTCTAAAAGAGGCTGAATTTAAAAACTGACATCGGGAAAAAAAATCTACGGGAACTAATTGTGTTATTGCATAGAAAAGCATTGACTGGGCTCACACAAAATTATGTCATACAGTTTTCTGAATTCTCTTTTCTAAAAACATCACTTAAAAACATATTCTCAAATAAATTTTAAAGAAATATGGATAAGATCAGGATGAATAAAATTTTGGTTAGATTTCTGGAAACTTACTAACATGTTAATATAATGGTATATACAATTTATCAGTATCATTGTTAATTATTGTTAATCTTTACTAAGTCCTTAGTGTGAGCTGTGCATTATGCGTAGTGCTTCATTCTACTCCTGCAAAATCTGTTAAGTAAATGATTATTCACATTTTGAATTCGGAAACTTAAAGATTAGAGTGTTTCTGCAATTTCTGCAAAATCCCGTATAAAATCATGTTGCCATTAAGTTCGAAGGATCAGCTTGCTCAACCCCCATCATTATACAGTCATTAATCTAAATTTTGCCAATATTAACTTACTGTTCTCAACATGACTTTGTTCAAATAATTTTACTTTTAACATGTTTGCTATGACCATAATATATCTGATTTTTCAGAAATAAGGAGGAATTATTATAATTTATCTTCCAAGTCCTAGCAACCATTCCTCAGTGACCACAGAAACTGCCTCTTTTGCTGCCTTTGTTTAAAGTAAATGAAAATGTAAATATAAACAAGAGAATGAGTACATTCCTTTCTCTTCTTTCAAGGTTATCTTTCTCAGTTAACAGATGCAAAATAAGCTGCCGAATAATTGGAAAGAAATGACAGAATTCCCAAGCATCCTATTACCTAAGTCATTCAAGTAAACCACTTTCAAAAGAAAACTTGCTGTTAATGTTAATGCTTAGGTTTGATGGGAACTCTTTCAGAAAAAGGAAAGTGCTAAAATTAAACCATACTTTAAAAAATTTTAATTACAAGGGGAAGAAAACCACTGGGTCTTCACATCTCAGTTGCTAAGTTTGCTGAAATGTCTGTTCCACTCCAGTTATGGAAGAACATTCATGTGCTATTTTCCATTCCTATATATGACTCTATGCTTTTGTGGTTTGTCCCTCTTAAATTGTTCTGTTTCTTAGAATGTGTTGGTTTTTCTTTCCTGGCTGTGCCACCCCAAGTTCCCTCTTTACCCCCTATCCTTATGATATAAGGACTGAAATCTCAGGGCTGTGTTGCAAATATCTGTGTGCTGTTTTCACAACAAGACTGTATGAGAATGGACCATTGTATTGCTATTGACAAGAAGCAAGTGCCAACTTATTTTTTGGTCTTTTTCAATCCATACGTTTGGGGCTTTAGTAGACCTGATTTAATCACAATTCCAGTGACTCTGTAGGCCAGTGAATGATTTTCCGTTGTGCCCTGATTTGTTCACCTAAGACATAACTTTTGGAATAGTGGTGTAAGGCTGGAGAATGTACCACCAGGACCTCAGCACCTGGACATGTGGCCGGAGAGTGGAGCATGTGGAGTCCCTGTAGCCGAACCTGCAGTTCTGGGATCAGCAGTCGAGAGCGCATATGTCCTGGGTAAACGCAAAGTTCCTGCATTGGGGGAGGGCATTTTATTCTTGAATTTTCAAATGCAAAGGTTTTCCTGACAAACGGTGTTGGAAGGCAGACCTCAGACCCTACCCCACGCTGGAAAGCAGCAAAGTCCCTCAAAGTATTTATTTTATATAAAATGTCCCTTTTGAGAAGAAAATAAGACCAACCCTTCTACTAACAAATAATTAAACATTACATCGGGTAGTTTCTTGAGTGAATCAAATAAACTGTTGTGTTTAAAGGAGCAGGGAGACCTGCATTAGGAAAAGTAAGTCACCATTTAAGGGGACAGTGAGAAGGCGGGAAGATGGCAGGACTTCGGGAAAGGAGGGGAGAAGAACAAAATCAACGTCAATAGAAGTGAAATGTTGAAAACTCAAGACGTGCTGAGCACGTGTGCAGATGGGGAACCTTACAGGGTCCACTCGCTCAACCCCATCCTTCTAGAGTGATCCCAGGAAAGCATGCAAGAAAATCATTTCAGCTCTGTACTTTTACCGTTGGTTTGGGCTCAGTGGCCCAATGCCTTCACAAGCAATTTTAGAGAAAGTATGTGAAAACGTTACAACCAAACTCCTTTGAGGGAATCCCAGGCTTTCTATTTTGCCCCCAGCCTCTGCCCTTTACTCTTCTGTATCATAGTCATGGCAAGCTAAGTGGCAAGGTTTTAAGAAGCATATGGATTTCCTGCTATTAGCGATCACTTAACGTGTCCACATTTTCAAAAGTAGATGATCTAATATAAAGGATTATACCTTATTAACTTAATGCCTTTTAATTTTTTTGAAGTGAGGGTTAACGTAAAAAAAAAGATAAAATTGATTATTTGTACTATTTTTTCTAGGCTAGGTTCTGAAGCAAGGGATTGTAATGGTCCCAGAAAACAATACAGAATATGTGAGAATCCACCTTGTCCTGCAGGTTTGCCTGGATTCAGAGACTGGCAATGTCAGGCCTATAGTGTTAGAACTTCATACCCAAAGCATGGTCTTCAGTGGCAAGCTGTCATGGATGAAGGTATGAGTAACCAGGCCACCGCCATCTTAGTTAAGCAGACTTCTGGATTTGCAAGGTGCTTTACTCGTGGTTATTTCACACATTATACAGATTATATTCTAAGTATTCCAGAGCTCTCCTTTTCCAACCTTCATTTAATACATATAACGATCACAAGCACTGACTACAAGTATTTATTTTAATGTGGTGTATATTATTGCATACCAATTAGATTAACTTCGATTTTAAAAGAGTGGCAATATGAAATGCTGGTGAGGATGAGGGGAAATTGGATCTTCTACGTTGCGGATAGGAATGTAAATCGTACAGCCACTCTGAAAAATAGCTTGGTGGTTTCTTCAATAATTAAGCATACAGTTATCATACAACTTAGAAAACACAATCCTGGGCATTTTCCCCAGAGAAATAAAAATTTACAACCTTAAAAAAAAATCCCATACACAAATGTTCGTAGCAGCTTTATTTTTGATAGCTAAAACCTGGAAACAACCAAAAAAGTCCTGAGACCCTGAATTGTCAGACACACTGAGGTACATCCACACCATGGGATACTCTGAAGCAATAAGAGGAACTATGGATATGAAGCAACTTGGTGGGCTTCAGAGCATTATGCTAAGTGAAAAGAGCCAATGTCAAAACATCACATATTCTGTGATTCCACCTATGTAACATTCTCGAAATGATAAAACTGCAGGGATAGAAAACAGATTAAAGGTTGCCAGGAGTTAGGGATGAAGGCGGGGAGAGGAATGGGTGCTATTACCTAGGGGTAACATAAAGTAGAAGTTTGTGCTGGTAAAATACTTACAGATATTGATTGTGGTGGTGGTTGTAAAATCTACGCATGTGATCAGTGAAGTATACACATACATGTACTGATGTCAGTTTCCTGGGTTTGCTATTGTACTCTAGTTATGAAAGTGTAGCCATTGGGGTTAACTGGGGAAAAGGTACATGAGACCTCTCTGTACTATTTTTGCAACTGTTGTTTAAACTTATTACTTAAGAAGATAGTTCTGGAGCACCTGGGTGGCTTAGTTGGTTGAGCCTCCGACTCTTGATTTCAGCTCAGGTCATGATCCCAAGGTCATGGGGTTGAGCCCCGCGTGTGGCTCTGCGCTGAACATGGAGCCTGCTTGGGATTCTTTCTCTCTCCCTCTGCCCCTCAACCCCACTAGAGCACTCCCCCTCTATAAAATAATAAATAAATAAATAAACAAACAAACAAACAAACAAACAACTAGGGAAGCAGGGTGGCTCAGTCAAAATAGGTGTCCAACTTCAGCTCAGGTCATGATATTGCAGTTCATGGGTTTGAGCCCTGCTCTGGGCTCTGTGTTCACAGCTCCCTCTCTCTCTGTCTTTTCCCCACTAGTTCTCTCTCTCTCTCTCTCTCTCTCTCTCTCTCTCTCTCTCTCAAAAGTAAACATTAAAGAAGTTTTAAAACCTAAGATAAATAAATAAATTTTTTTTTTTTTTAAAAAGAAGAAATAGTTCTTGCCCGTGGTCGGTGAGCTCTGGATTTGAGCTACAGTTACCAAATATGTTTGTGAATTCTGTCATTTAACTGACCGTCAGTGTTTCTTGTCCTTATTTCTCCCCTTAGTCAGTTTGGACTGTGCTTTTCCATCATTTCAGTAACCCTCCTATCAACAGCCTGAATTCCGTTGTTCATCAATTTCAGTGCACCCATCTGACAAAACCCCTCTCTCAGGATCAGCTTCTGAGCACACAAGCACTAATGGAAACAGCCAAACAACAAGGCAGATCACTCCACGACAGACAGTAGTGTTCTGTGTTTGGTAGCAGGAGGATGAGGAGGTAATCTGCTGCCTTCTCTTGCCTCATGTCTCATCTAGAACCTTGCTCCCTGTCACTCTCAACTCCAGATCCTGTTCTTGTTTTCCTGCCTCAAACATGTCATGCTCTCTTTGCCATGATGGCCTCCAATCCTACTGCTTCCTCAGGTGAGAGGAAATTACAGCACAATCTTCTGTTCACGCTGCCCTCTTAATAAATGGTAATTGCCTCCTTCTAGATGCTTAGACAAAACATTGGAGTCATCATTGTTTTCTTTTCTTTTACTCTATGTTCAAAATATCAGTAAGGTCACATGAGCCTCATTTTTTCTAATTCTATGTCGTTAACGTACAGTGTTATATTAATTTCAGGTGTATGATACAGCGATTCAGCATTTCTATATATTACTCAGGGTTCATCAAGTTAAATGTACTCTTAATTCCCTTCACCTGTTTCATCCATGTTCCCACCACCTCCCCTCCAGTAACCATCAGTTCTGTATAGTTAAGCGTCTCTTTTGTGGTTTGTCTCTTTTTTTATTTGTTCATTCATTTTGTTTCTTAAATTCCACATTTGAGTGAAATTGTATTAGGATTTGTCTTTCTGTGACTCATTTCACTTAGCATTATATTCTCTAGATCTGTCTATTTTGTTGCAGATGGCAAGATTTCATTATTTTTATGGATATGAGCCCTACCTTTAAAACACATCCAGAGTCTTATCATTTCCAAACATCACCAGAACTCCAACCCTGGCACAAGCCACTGTCTCTCTCCCCGTGATTGCAGTAGCCCTCTAACTGGTCTTCATGCCTGTGCTCTCCTTCAGTCTCAAGAGCCAGAGTGATACATCTAAATTGTCAGTCATTTCCTGTTATTCTTCTATTCAAAACCCTCCAGTACCTTCCCAGCTCACTGAAAGCCCACATTCATTCCTTCTAAGGGCCTAGAAGGATCTCTGCTACCTGGCTTCCTCTGACCCTCTGACCTCATCCCTTCTGTTCCCCATCACACTTCCACCCATACTGGCTCACTTGCTCTGCCTAGAATAGGTCCTAGTGTCTTGAAAACCCCTGCTTTCCCTGCTGTAACACCATCTCCAGGTATCTGTGTACTTCATTCTCTCACCTCCTTTAGGTTTTTTGTAAAATAATAACTCAATCCCTTTCCTTTCCTTGCTTTATTCTTTTTTCACAGAACTCACCATCATCTGCCATAATACTTTTCCATTTTGTGTATTTAAAAAAAATTTTTTTAGTTTTTATACTTTTTGAGAGCAAAAGAGAGTGAGCAGAGGAGGGGCAGAGAGAAAGGGAGAGAGAATCCCAAGCAAGTTCCACAGTGTCTACACCGAGCCTGATGCAGGGCTCAAACTCTATCCATGAGCTCATGACTTGAGCTCAAATCAAGAGTCGGATGCTTAACCAACTGAGCCACCCAGGCACCCCTACATTTGTTTATTATATGTGCCCCATAATAATTGGAAGAACAGGGTTTATCCTGTTTTTGCATTGCTATATGTTCAACATTGTGAACAGTACCTAAACAGAGTAGGCACTTAATAAGGTAGGTGAATGAATTTTCTAGTGATCTCCTTGGGATAATAATACTTTATTCACTAGGCTTATTTATCATCCGTATGCCAAAGGAACACAGATGTTTATCTCCCACCCAGATCTCTCTGTCCTGAGCCCCTTCATTGCTTACCCATCCGTTGCATGGACATCTTCACTCAACGTCTCATTATTTCTTTTTTTTTTAAATTTTTTTTTTCAACGTTTATTTATTTTTTGGGACAGAGAGAGACAGAGCATGAATGGGGGAGGGGCAGAGAGAGAGGGAGACACAGAATCGGAAACAGGCTCCAGGCTCTGAGCCATCAGCCCAGAGCCTGACGCGGGGCTCGAACTCACGGACCGTGAGATCGTGACCTGGCTGAAGTCGGACGCTTAACCGACTGCGCCACCCAGGCGCCCCACGTCTCATTATTTCTAACTCAGCATGCCCCTTTCCTTTCTGTCTCAGTCCTGCATCTGCTTCTCTGCCTGTGCTCTGTCACATGGAACGGTATCACGATCGGTCTCATTCCCAAGCTAAGCTAGGACCATTCTTCCTCAGTCTCCATGCCTGTAATCAAGTAGCAAACCCTCTTTGTCCAAAGCGTTCTCCTGCCAGAACGTTTGTTCATGTTTGCACTGGATTCTCAAACACCTTCCTCCCCTCTCTCGCCAGTCTTCTACAGCCCGTGCTCCACTTTTCAGCCAGACTGGCCCTTTAAAGGCTGGATATGTCAACCACTGTGCCATGTGGCACCCTTCTGTGAGCCCCGCTGCTCTCGGGACCAATGTCAGATGTAACTGCCTCTGGTTG